CCTAGTGAAGGCTTGCCCACTGGTACAACTTGGCCCCTTTTTAATGGAATGGTTTTGCATGGCTTTGCCTTGACTGAACAAGCCAAGCTAAACCTCATTGTCTAGGCATCCTAGAATCCAGTTTTCACTAAAGATCTGCTGGATAAGATGATTATTGTGTTAACAGGGGTGGGTGGAAGGAGGATGAAGACCCTGATCTCAAGTGCCTTGACACTACCAGGCAGGTGTGCAGCACATTCTTAAATGGCCTTCTAGACACTGGGTCTAAGAGTAAAACAAGGGAGAAAAAAATATCACAATGGTCAACTTTTTTCCTCCACCTCAAAAAAAGACTCATAATCAAGTTGGAAAATCCCTTTTCTCCATCCTCCTGTCTCAGGCGATCTGGTTAATGTCTGCTAAAGGCCCTGGGGCTGGACTGCCTGTTGTGCAATAGCCAGAGGAGAGGAAGCATGGTGTGTGGACTTCAAGCCTGAAGTCCAAGACTTGGCTTCTCACAGTGTGTAACTTGGTAAAGTCTCTTTTTTCCTCTGAGCCTTAGTTTCTCAAAAAACTAAATAAGAGTGATGATACAGGGAGTTGATTAGGTATGACTCCTTCAGAGAGCAGTTCTGAGAATCAAGTACTGGACATGAGTGTTTCATAAACCACCACCGAAGACAGGACAAAAGGAAGAGAAGTCAGAGCTGTATTCCAGTTCTTTAATAAGTGCTTTCTGTGTGACCACTTCATTGACTAGAGTGGTGTGTGTAAGAATGGCCCCAGTGTGTGTGGGAAGGTCTTATTTTCAGAAAAATTTTGAGGCAGGGACAGAAGATTAAGGCTCCAATCTACAAACTACTAACTTGCCTGTGATTTAGACAAATAACTACCTCTCTGGGTCTCAGTTTCTCAACCATAAAATAAGGATAATAATACCTCCCTCATTTCCTCCATTTGGAAAATAGGAATGTAATAGTTGCCCTGCTTTCTTCCTTTGAAATTGAAGATGGTATTAATAGCCAGTGTACTTTCCTTGGCAGTGAAATTAGTAGGTTGTTTTCATTCACTTGCCTCTAATGGACATTCAGCATTTTATAGGATTTGGAAGTTCCAAAGAAAAATGCAAGAAATGAGGCCAGACTGCTGCTGGTATGTGGTTTAGTGGCAGAGCTCTTGTCTAGTATATAGAAAGCCCTGGGTTCAAGCCCCTGCAACATAGACACACACACACACATGCACAAATTATATATATCAAGCTCTGGGTTTGATCCCCAGTGCCACACATCCGTACAAAAATCCATATATCAGTTAGGCTTGATGGTACATATATGTAATCCTGGTACTTAGGGGGTCTGAGACAGGAGGGTCATGAATTTGAGGTTCACCTATTACTTTTGCGTAAGTGTAATCTTTCTTCCCACTCCAGAGCATAACTCTGCTGCAAAGAAAGATCCTCCGTCTGCACTAGTTCCGGAGGAACTCTGGAGGAAACGTTCTCGGGTCCTGGTTTTCTAGGCAATGACTTCCTACAGTCAGAGACAGGATTCCTTTCTGATCCTGAGCACCCTATTTAACTAGCTGGTTCCACATTAAGTTTTTATCTCTTAAATTTTAATTTAACTAAAATTAAGATGGGGTAGGCAGGGAGAGCCCAGTTTTTATAAAATGAGGATTCTTTCCCAATGTTAATCTGCAATGACTCCCTACCAGCTCCCTGGAGAGTCAGGGAACCTCTAAGAAACGATTTGGCCACAGATGCCTCAAAGGTCAGCCTGTGCTGTATATCTCATCTTCAAAAAGCTCCTGTGACTTAGAGTAAGGGAACTAGTGTGCATGTCTGAAGACATCATGGCAGCCACAGGAATGCTTCCCACTCCTGACTGATCTCTATTGCTGAACTTGCTTTCCAAGAACCCTTAGTGGAACATAGACTCTTCATTCCTAAGAAAGTCAGTTCTTTTCACTGACATTCCAGAGTCCCCATTGCAACAGCCCCTTCAGGCTCTGAGAAATACCTGGCCATTCTTCCTTCCTGTTCACTACCTTAAGACCAAAGTCAACCCTTGTTTTTCTCCTGGTATTGATTGTTTTTCTAACCCCTGGAACTGGTTTTATAACCCTAGTTCCATTGCTCTTTTCTTGGCTGGCTTTGACATGCCCTGTAGATCACTCTTTTGGTAATTTCCTGACAGTCCAGGAATTTACTGTCCTCTTTCAGCAACTCTGTCTCCAGGTCTCTCATTTCCCAGCGCTTGGTGTCTTCCAGGGGATCCAGCACATTTAGTTTGGGCGGGTGAACAATCTTTTTTTCTTTTTGAGATAGGATCTTACACTGTAGTCCAAACCCAGACTGACCCAAGATTTAAGGCAATCCTCCTGCCTCAATTGCCTGAGTGATGGGATTATAAGTGTGAACCACCATGCCTTGCCTGAACAATCATTGGACAAGGTGAAAGTGTCCTCTCGGTTTTAGAATATTAAGTGTCTTTTAGTCTCTACTAAGTAAGCAGGTCATAGACAGTACAAGTCTCTTGATCCTATCAAAGGACTTCACATAGGCATTTAAAAAGGAGGAGGAGGAAGAGGAGGAGGAGAAATGAAGGAAGAAAAGCCTATAGGAACTTGTGCCACTCCGAGCCCCTTTGTCCTCTCTTAGACTTATTTACATCATGAGCTTAATATTGAGGGATTATTTCATCTCTTAGTTTTGTTTCTAGTAGCGCTGTTGTTTGGGATAGACAGCTTGCATTAAAAGAAGAAATTTTGAGATAGAAATGTGCTTCCTTTTCATCTGTTTCTAGCTTGGCCCTCATGTCCTCTGTTTTTCATTTTTTGTGGGGTTTTTTGTTTTTTTAGAGGGGAGGGGGTCAGGGGGTTGTTGTTTTGAGACAGGGAGTCATTTGTAGCCCTGGAGCCCTGGCTGGCCTGCAACTCAAAATATAGGCCAGTTTCATCTTAAACTCACGGATATCTACCTGGACCCTCTGTTTTGTTTTGTTTGTTGTTTTCTTTTTCTTCCTTTCTTTCTTTTTTTCTTTTTCTTGCTTTTTTTAAATTTTTTTGAGACAGGGTCTCCCTGCTGCCCCAGCTGGCCTGGAACGCCATATGTAGACCAGTATGGCCTTGAACTCACAGAGATCCATCTGGCTCTGCTTCCCGAGTGCTGGGATCAAAGGTGTGTACCACTATGCCTGGCTTTATTTTGTTTGTTTGTTTTTTTAATTTTTGAATCTTTCTGTGTTTCCCGGTTTGGCCTCAAACTCACCATTCTGCCTTAGTGTCTCTAGGGTGTCACACATTTTTTTCAGTTTGAGAAGTCACAGCATATTTTGCACCTGCGAGGAATAGAGCATTAGAATGTGAGTATTCTTCTCGTCCCCTTTAACTACAATAACTGTATACCTGACCCTAGGTTACAAATTGAATTTTGGGTGTTTGGCATATGCTGGTCTACATGATGAGTTCCAGAGTAGCTAGAACTACACTGTGAGACCTTGTCTCAAAAGAAAATGAAAAAAATGAATTTTGTTTGGAAATGAATGTTTCAAAATTGAATTAAGGTTGAGTTCTGGCTCAATCTGAAAGTCAGTTTTGGAAAGTGGAACACAGAGCTTTCTATCTCACTGGTTCCAAACTACCAAAGAGAGGTAGTGAGAATTTGAATGCCCCAGGGATCATTCTCTAGCCCACTGGCCTCAGGGCAAACACTCAGGCTTTGCATAGCCACCTGGATCTAGCCAATCTCTGCTCTCCACCTCCGGCATCGTGGTGAGCCAGGCAGGGTATGGAGAGGGAACTTTCAAAGCACCTGCCCAGTGGACCTCTTTTCCGACTTCAACCTAGAAATGAATAAGAAACTTAGGAAGATGACGGTCAAGAGCTGTCCCTACTCTCTTCCTCCCCTGCCCAGTGCACACAATCCAGGAATCCCCTTTCTGTGCTTGCTGCTGGCCTCTCAGAGGAATCTAGCCCTCAGTAAGCAAAAATGGATTAGTGAAGAGAGCACTGGATTAAGCATCAGGAGATTGATTTAAAGATTCAGTTTTACCCATCAGTAGCTGAGGAATTTGGAGAAAGCCACTTAACCCCACCATGCCTTAGCCTCTTTGTTAGCAAGGTAGAGAGAAAAATATCTGTCCTTTCTCCTCTTCCTGAATTCTAAAAGGTAACTATGAGAGTTATATGACATCACGGAGGGGAAAGGCCTCTGGAACATAGTACTGAGGCTTTGCACCTACCGCACTCTCACAAACCATGTCTAAGCAAATGGGACTGTTTTTATAGGTTTGTTTCATGTTCCCCATCAAGGGTGGGGCTGTCTGTCTAGGGTAGAAACCAGCCTCCAGAAGGTGTGATCTCTATTCATAGGTGTTTTGTTTTGTCTTAAGATGGGGTCTCACTATGTAGCTCAGGTTAGCCTTGATATCATGATCCTTCTGCCTCAGCTTCCCAAATGCTGGGATTGCAGATGTGTGTCAGTATACTCAGTCCATATCACAGGTCTTCAGACCACCCAATCATGGTATGTGGCCACAATCTGTCCAAAAGAATTTGCCATTTGGCTCAACTAGAAATGGCAAAACTGGAAACATGGGCTCTGAGACCCTTGTCACCTTGGCTAAAACATGTGCCTCCCAGCTAGACTCTTCTGAAACTCAGTATTTGCTCCATCATTACTACCATTCGGCCTTACGCAACTCATTGGGCTTCTCAGAGACTCATTTCTTCCTCTGTAAAATGTGAGCAATGCTATCTTGGCTTCATAGGATTGTTCTGAGTTGTAAATTAGACTTGTAAAGTGCCTGACCAAGTTCCTGGTGAATATGTGGTCAGTTCTCTGCTCTTTACCCTACTCTAGGAGGAACTACTGCTGGACATACCTGCCTGGAGATCTTTTCGCCATCTCAGAGGCATTTTAGAAGTAGACCAGAGATGAGCTCTCCCTTCAAATGCCAGTCCTGCCAATTATCCTGACGTCACTGTGCTCCCTCCTCACTTACCCCTGTTGCCTCATGCAGGGAACATCATCGGCTCTGGAATCTTTGTCTCACCAAAGGGTGTCCTGGAGAACGCTGGCTCTGTGGGCCTTGCCCTCATCGTCTGGATTGTGACAGGTGTCATTACAGCTGTGGGAGCCCTCTGCTATGCTGAGCTGGGGGTCACCATCCCTAAATCCGGAGGTGATTACTCCTATGTCAAAGATATCTTTGGAGGATTGGCTGGGTAAGCAAACCTGTGGAGACCTGAGTGGTCTGGTCTAACAGGGATGTCCGACCTTTTGACATTCCGATATGATGTCATCTAAAAATGTTGTGTCACACTCATAGCTGTCCTGGGGTGCATGAGGCTGATGAACTTCAGGCAGGACATCACTGGTTGAGGAAAAGGAGACTGATGGGACAGAAAGGTCAGACTGAAGGAGGCCAAGGCCAGGGGTTTCTAGTCTCCAGTGTGTCAAAGCTCCTGAGAGCATTGGATGAACCAAGTTACAATTTTAATCTCTACATTCAACCTCACGGTTGAATGAATGAAAACAGATAGAAGTAGATGACAACACTGACCATAGACTAGGGAAAGCAGTCACAAAAACGAAGCCCTTTCACCTTGACAAATGAGATTGACTGCATCCCCTCTTCCTCTATTACCAAAGAAAATGGCTTCCCTCTGGAATCAAGCCCTGCTCTTGAACTTTCTTAGCTTCTCTGGCCCCGCTAGGATCTCATCCATCACCAAAGGGCCAAAAGGTGTGGCAGGAGCTTCCCGGGAAAACTTCCTGGCAGTTAATAGACACACCCTTAGCATGTCCTCGCTGTCAGAATTCTGATGCTGCATCTTTAATGTTTCCACCCTTGATGCCGAGGGCCAGACTTACAGAGAAGAGATGATGAAAGGAGAGAGGAGAGAAGAATGCCAAGCTTCAATGCTAACTTATCTCTTCCTTGTTAAATCATGTCATCGCCAACACAGAGACCAAATGTCTCATTTGGGGTGGAGGTGGGAGCAGGGATCTTCCGCATCTCTGGAAACAAGAGGGGAATCACCTTCAGCCCCTATGCCCTCCCCCCTTGCCTGGATTTTCTATTGATGACGCTGACGCCCTGCCATGGTCAATGAGTGTCCATCCCTGCTCTTCTTTCAGGTTCCTGAGGCTGTGGATTGCTGTGCTGGTGATCTACCCCACCAATCAAGCTGTCATCGCCCTTACCTTCTCCAACTACGTATTGCAGCCACTCTTTCCCACCTGCTTCCCCCCAGAGTCTGGCCTTCGACTCCTGGCTGCCATCTGCTTATGTAAGTGTCATTGGACCTCGCTTTCACTACAGCCTCTTTCAGGCTTCCTGGTGACCTTCATGCCTCTGAATCTCCTTTTCCTCCTCCTTTCCCCCACCCTCTACTTTCCATTTCTATGAGTGTGTTTTGAATGAATGTGGTCCACATACATTTATCTAGTATTAAGTAGGAAGTCAAGGTTGGTACATGTCTGTAATCCCAGCACTTGAGAGACAGAGGAAAGAGGATCTCCAGCTGGAGGTCAGCCTGGGCTGCAGAGCTAGTGAAAGCCTATCATGAACAAAAACTTAACAACAAACAAGAAAAAAATCTAGCTCCATGGAGACACAGCAATCTTCAGTGCCTGAGTTCTTTACATGAAGCAGTCTCAACTCACAACAAATCCACGAGGTAAGGGGGGCCACTATTAACATTTTCTAGAACAGATCAGGAGACCACCAGCCAGACAAGTGACTTGCCCGAGGAGGCAGACCCTACGTAGAGTCCAGGGCTCCTGATTCCTTCGCTTTCTGGCTAACCTCTCCAGCTGCTGATAGGAAGACTGTTGTGGTCTGTGGCAGGTGGTCTGCAGCTGGCTCAACCTCAGGTTGCCAGCTCACACTATTCTTAAACTGTGCCGAAGGAGAGTTTGCTTATTCCTTGTCCCTGATCTGAATGAGTTTTTTTTAAGTGGAGGAAAAGCCTTATAGACAGCGCCTGTGGTTAGGGTTTAATCGGCTGCAGTGAAAACTCACAGACTAGGAAGATGCCTGTGAGCTGGTCCTTAAGACAGAAGCAATTTCTAGAAAGTCTCAGCACCAATCTCTGATAGCAACGATCTCCACAGTCTGGGTTATTCCACATCTTTACTTGAACACTAACTTCTCAAGGAACTGCCTGGATTCGTTCAGAGGCTATGTTTAAAGAGATCGCTCAGCTGTGCCTGCCTGCCTTCCCACACCTTCTGACACACTAGCCTTAGCTCAGTACAGGGATCATCCTTGCTGCTCCTTTCCAGGTCCTGCTCTGTCCTTCTGTCATGCTGATGAGATAGCAGGGAGGACCCCACCGCTCCCAGCACAGGCATCTGAGACCTAAAGGTGCTTCTTAGCAAGAGTACCCTATTTGGGAGTGGAGGCCAGCCCTGAGGTAGACCCCATATCTAGGCAAGGTAAAATGTGAGCCCAGAACCCTTGTCTAGGGGCTTTTCCACAAGTTTGGTAAGGCCTGCTCATAGACCTCGAGGCAGAGGAGTGTGAGCCCCAGAATCATGGTTCCAGAGCCTGCATCTCTTACTGCACACATTCTGATGGCTTGGCCTAGTTTCCACCTGCCTCACTGTGAGATAGGTCTGTAAATCATAACTCTGTGTTCCTCAGGAGGGTGAGGCTGTTAGGAGCGCAGGCCAGAAGGAACGGTACTCCCTCAGCTCTGCACCTAGTACCCAGGCATGTCAACCAAAAGGGGGAGTTGGAATACCATGTTACTGGGGTCACTTTGGTCCTGGCTTCTTAGTTGGATCTAGAGCTGGGGGAAGGGAGGAAGGAGCGTGTGGGAATACAGGAAAAGTCGCTGTTTCTGCATCAGATGAGCTAACGAGGGGAGGAAGAGGGAAGCACATGAGTGCTGGTGGCTGCTGTTTTGGTGTCTTTTGCACACAGGCAACTTCCTCTTTCCTGCTGATGTGCTGAAGTGTCTCCAACAAGAGGGCTCCCCTTACCCCTTACTGGACATCAAGAGCTCTGAGGCTGTGTGCTCCCTCCCCTAGGAGAGGAGCCAGGCCACAGTGTACAGTTCTCTGAACACCCAAACCTGCCAAGGGTTTGACCCTTTGCACAAAGCCCTGGAGTAGTATAGCCCATGGGCCTCTCCTTGGGACAAACAGTTGCAATCCTTCTGGAGATAAGAGAAGCTTGTCTGTAGGCAGTTTCAGAGTGTACACTGGTTGCACAGAGCATACCCACCCACACCTACCCTTCCCCTGGATACTGACCAAGCCCAGAAGAATCTTAGAAACTGCTGTCCCCCTTTCCTGCTGTCAAAGATCCGATAAAGTCTGTGTGGCTTGCCCTCTGCCTCTCACATGAAACTGTAAGTGACCGTCTTCAGCCGAACAGTAGTCAATCTTGTCCTCTGAAGACAGGAATTTGTCAGTGTCCTTGAGATAGGTGTCTAGATATCTCTCTACCTGTATAAACAGAAAACTCTTAAACTAAACTTATTTCCCTACTTCCTTTAGGAGATGGAGGACAGGTCTCAGTTGCCTTGATTCTATGTACACCAGTTCCATTTCTGATTTGTTGAATAGCATTTTGGTTTTTTGTTCGTTTGGTTGGTTTTTATTTATAACTTTTATTTTTATGTATATGAATGTATTGCCTGCATGTGGTAAGTGCACTGTGTTGTAGTAATGCCCGCTGAGGTCAGAAGAGAGTGCTGAATTCCCCTGGAACTGGAATCATGGATGGCTGTCAGTAGCCATGTGGGTGCTCGGAATCGAACTCGGGTCTCTGCAAGAGCTGCCAGTGCTCTTAACTGCTGAGCGTCTCTCCAGCTGCCAGCATTTTCTTTTCGAAGTCTCACTATATAGCCCAGGCTGACTTCAAACTTGTAGCTATCCTCCTTCCTGCCTCAGCCTCCGTGGTGCTAGAGTAACAAGTGTGTGCTACCACATCTTCCTAGTAATCTTTTAAACCCACTTCTAGGACTCGAGAGCTGGCTCAGCAGTCAAGAGCACTTGCTCTTGCAGAGGATCCAGGTTTGGTTGGATCCCAGCACCCATATGACTGACAACTGTCTGAAACTCCAGTTTCAGGGACTCCAGTACCCTCTCTGGCCTCCTTAGACACCAGGTGTACATGTTGTTAACATACATACATGCAGGCAAAACACACACATAAAGTAAAAAATAAATCTTTTTAAATTAAAACCCATGGGCCGGGCCTGGTGGAGCACGCCTGTAGTCCCAGCACTTGGGAGGCAGAGGCAGGTGGATCTCTGTGAGTTCAAGGCCAGCCTGGTCTACATAGTGAGTTCCAGGACAGCTGGGGCTACAGGGAGACCCTGTCTCAAAAAAACCGAAAAAAAAAAAAAATTAAAATCCTCATTGACAGCCTTCCCCTTAAACTATTTCTCAAGACATCCAGTGAAACAGAAGCCAGGCTGTTGAAAATGCTCTGCCGAAGCCATCTTTCACAGGATTGGCATCCTTGGGGCAAGGGAGCTTTTTGAGACGAGGTCTTGCTATGTAATCCCGGCTGGCCTCAAAGCCCTGAACCTGTGGCTTTTCTCCTGTCCTTGGTTCCAAGTGCTGAGATCACAGGCATGAAACACCATGCCTAATTAACACTGCTTTTCTTGAGATAGGAGTTTATCTTGTAACCTAGCTGCCCTTGAATTAATAGCTTAGGCTAGACTTGAACTCGTTAGTCTCCTGCCTCAGCTTCCTGAAGACTGAGATCACCTGGTGGCCTGTGCCACCGTACCCTGCTATTGCAACATCTTTTATTCCAGCACTCCTCCTTCCCCCTCCATCCACCCCTACCATCATCCAGCCTACGTAGTAGGTACCAGGTAAGCCAGCTGCATAAAATAATTACAGTGCTCCTGAGAGCTGGAACCAGGAGCCACCTGGCTTGGGGGAAGCCACAGCGAGCTTGGATATGGTGGGAAGCTATTTACATAGGAAACTGCTTTTCCACTGTCCTGTCTCATTTTGGCATGAGGTGGGTTAGATCTACTGAGCAATGAGAGGTTTGCAGAAGGGCCACCCTCTGTGGAGAGGTCACTGCTGTGTAATGCAGGGCTCTGGAGGACAGGGCACAGACCCCAGCAAGGAGAGTGGGTGTGGCAAAGCCGGGGGCTAGGGTTTGCTGTGAGAAGGAGAGGGTGGTTTTGGAAGCTAACAGAAGAGAAATGAAGTTGGGACAGATGGTGGGGGTGGAAAGGCAGAAAGGACCTGCTGTAACTGGCTTGACTGCCTGGAGCCTGGAGGGGGTAGGGGAGAGGAAGAGAGAAAAAGAAGGAACTGCAGATTTGGATCTGCTTGTGCAACTGCAGCCGCTGTGAGTTATTCTATTATTTAGGTCAAAGCTGATTATTCACTGCTGAGTCAGCAGAATATCCCTGGTCACCAGGCAGTAAAAAAGAAAGCATTTTACATTTTAATTAGATGAAAAGCTTCTCTCCCTCCGGTCTCCAGAGCAAGCATATTATGGAGAGGAAGGAGTTAGGAGAGGAGAATGGGAGGTGTTGAACTTGGTTCTCATGCCTGCTTTTGTGATTCATTTGTTTCTCCTTCCTTTTCATTATCTCTTAATGGTTATAATCTCCATATAGAACAATTAAGTAACATATAAAAAAGTCCAGGGTGAAAGCCGCCCTCATCTTTGCCCTCACCCTGCCCATGCCCAGGGCGAGGGGTCCTGAGTGGACAGCTCTTCTTATACACTCACTAATGCACAGATGTGGGTGTGCAGACATGGGTACTGGCCCCTACAGTTCGTCCTTTGTCATGTAGTCCCATCTTCTGGCTATTATATGACTTTCTAGAGTTAAACAAAATTACAATTATTTAATTTAAAGATCTATGTTCAAGTTTGCTTTCAATTGCTGTGATAAACTCTGACCAATACCAACTTAGGTAGGAAAGGGTTTATTTGGCTTACATCTCCCAGGTCACAGTTCATCAGGGAGCCCAAGGTAGGAACTCAGGGCAGGAACCTGGTGAAGCACAGGCCACAGAGGAACGCTTCTTACTGACTTGCTCCCCTGGCCCATGCTCAGCCTGCTTTCTTATACAATACAGAACAACCCACCCAGGGGTGGCACCACCTACAATGGGCTGGGCCCTCCGACATCACTCAACAATCAAGATACGGCCACAGGCCAATCCAATGGAGGAAATTCCCCAATTGAGGATCCCTCTACCCAGACAACTAAAGAGATATATATATATATATAAAACATATATAAAAAATACAGTATATATATAGTGTATATATATATATATATATATAGAC